ATTTTAGTTTTTTAAAATTTAAATTAAAGCAGGTTTTATGACCTATGGATCGTTTTTAAGTCACTATATAAATAGTATTACACTTTATTAAATTAATTAATATGATTTGGATAAAAAAAATATAGAATATATATACAGACAAGCTTTTGAGAACATTAACGGCATTAAGATTATGAATTTATATAGGCCTATTTAGCCATTGTTATAATAGGCCTACGGTATTTAAATTATAACGCATTTTACGACCAACGGATCGTCTTTAAATCACTATATAAATAATACTACACTTTATTAAATTAATTAAAATAATTTCACTTAGCCTACTTTTAAAGAGTACTATTTACATTGTTGAATGTAGGTTGCAAACATGTGTATACGACTATACGGTATGTCATTACACAGCAACAAATCTTTAGCTCTGTTTTTTTTTTTTACTGTTGTTTACATTTTCACTCAGATATTCCGGTTTAATGCCATTGTATGAAAAGGACTCAAAACAATTTTAGAGCACAGTCCCTCCAGTCTAAAAATGTAGGTCTGAACAATAACACAACAATGGATACCGCAATTAAATCTACACCATGAAGGCATACAGGCTTGTACAACTACCAGTATGGTACACTCTCTACTTACCTATATGAATATTTTCTTACTTAAAACATGGAGGAATAATTATTCCTCCATGCTTAAAACAACAACACCATTCCAAAATTAAATATTTGAGAAGATGTTTTTGCGACGACGTGTCTACGACACAGTTCCGGTAGTTTACATACACGCTTGCTTCAACCGTAATTTAGATATGAGCATGAGACAGGTGCACAACCAACCAGGTATCTGAAGGAAAATTGCTGGCAAGGACAGTACAGTAGTGCCTACCACCCTCGATTTGGTGTAGCCCTGGGGCCGAAACGTACCCGACCAGTTTGTCAAAATCCAGTTTGCCGAAACCCATGATTGCCGAATTAATGGCCTCTTTGCCGAAACCCAGTTTGCCGAATCTAGTTCACCGAAATCATGACAATCCAGTTTGCCGAAGCCCAGTTTGCCGAATCATTTGCCGTCACCATCGTACCAAAGTGCAGTATACCGTGCTTTTGAAAACATATGATGGGTGGATCAGGGAGGAGCCATATTTACATTCCCGTATTTGTATCCGTGTAAACGCTCTGCTTTGAATAAACGCCCCTTCTACAGCCTCATATGGAATAAACGCCTCTTTCGAAAACACCCTGTGGCGTACATTTTTTCCTAGAATAAACTACCATTTGACTGTAAACAGATCTAATGGAAACACCATTCCCAACATTTTCTATTAATGTTTTACTCCAGTAAAATTACATTTTAATTACAGTGGAATTAAGGGGCGCAGTGCGTATAGGCCTACTGTACGTATCCAAGTATTGAAATACACGCCATCGTGTTGGGATTCAATATTTCGACATTAATTATGTCATCATCAGGAATCATTATACTTTCTTACCTGAGATTAATCAGTGGACCTTTCGGTACGTATCCATTTACGCAACAAAATAAATGCCTGCCTTGAATAAACACCTCCCTCGAAAAACACACCCCGTCAAAAACCATTCTCAACCTCCACTGGTGGCGCCGACACTGATGTTTTCCGACTTCAAGTATAATGACTTTTTTTTAACTCCGAAATACATAATGTACTGTAATTTTAATCGGCATTACATTTCACTTAGGCCCTCTATTCCAAGGATGATACATTACTTATTTTAATCCAGGATATTTATCGGTATTTTACTTAAATTTTTGATGTCAATTTCGTAACGACTGAGTGGTCTTGTCTTGTATTTCTATTTGCTTTTAAAAATCTAAAAATAGGCCTAGTTGTTTTATTGTTCTCTTTTATGTAGCGTCATTTATACATTGTTATGTTATGTAGGTTTTTGATGCGCTAAATAGTATTGTGATATTGTTATACAGTACTTTTTAATGTTCAAATTTTCTATTTTAACTTTTAATGTATATTACATATCGAGTACCGGCACTGATCTTTTGTAAATTTATATTTTAAAAATTCTTTACAGGATATTGTTTGCGCTATTAAATAAAGTTATGTTATTATTATTATTATTATTTGAGAGGAAGTGCACTTATATGGCATTTTCTTCTTACTAATTTGAGTAGAAATACATTACATTATAAACAGAGGTAAACAATAGAAAGTTTACTCATAAATACTGGGACGGTGTTCGACGGGGGTAGTTTTTACATGTAGTTTATATTCACTTTTTAATATATAAATCATTATTTTATAAATAAATTAGAAATAATGGGGGTGACTTGTGGTGGGATAATTTTACATGCGTTATATTTACTGTTATTATTTATTTTGGTACTTGTCATTGCCGTTTTGGTTTATTGCCGTTTTGACCTGCTACCCAACGGTTTCTGGACAAACTAGACTTATTATGTGACTGTGTCTTTTTGTAAAACAGAACAAAGGACCTTTGATCAAAGTGCTGGACAGAATTTCCCTGTGCAAAAACACAAGAAAACAGGATAGAAGGGAAAAAATAGAACAAAAATGGCCTTTTCTGCTAACGCAGGAAAAGCCAAATGTATGTCGCTTGTGACATAATTATATATTTTTTTTAGTCTTTAGACATAGAACATTCTACCCAGTTTAAAATTACCTAATTGAACAGTTTCTCTAGGTAGCACAGGATCACCCTGGACACTGCTGGCTTTTGCTGGAAATTAGTTCCAAATGCAGGTACCTGCGTCTGAATTGTGCCTATACTGTATAGGTCTTTGTGGTCACTTAGAGTATAACACCCGCCTGTCTGAGAGGCTGCAGGTACGGTTCGAATCCTGCGAGACACATCCTTTCATATATTCCTCTTCGAGCACGGGTATTATATGACACTTGCAGTCATTTGTTAATATATATACACGGTATATATAAATAATGATTATATAGTAAAAAATGTAGGTAATGCATCTTATAATTCATATATATATATATATATATATATATATATATGATTATTATTATTATAAGACAATGCATACGTTTGTCTCTCTCTACCCAGAATTATAAAATGTACCTGATGAAACGTGTGGCAATGAATGTATTAGATTGTGTTTTGTGCTGGTTTGCCATTACAGTACTGTATCTAGGAATAACGGTAATAGCACTACACAACATTTCGTCTTGTATTCCTTGGAAAAACGTGTGGAACAAATTCCTGTACAGCATTATTATTGCTGTGGTTATAGTAATATTGAATCATTATTCATGTGATATTTTCCCTTATGTGCTCAACTGAGCAGCCATCAACACTCTTGCAAGCAACAGGGAGAATGAGGAAGATTTGTTTGCCTATTCTACTGCCAAATGATGATAAAGGACAACACCTCAACCCCAACCAACACCAGCACTCCGATAAAAATCAACACAGACACAAACCTTCTGTACATTGTAGCCTACAATTTATTCCATAGTTACAGACAATGCCACAATATTGCAACTACTTAATTCAAATTCTTGGGATGTAGTACCGTACTAAACAATTATGGTTTCTACAAAACAACACCATATTGTAGGCCTATGCACTAAGTGACCAATTTAACTATTCATTGTAGGAGATAGTGTACAAACAACTGAATAACAATAATATTAACATTTACAGAACAATTATCAATGGCATTGAATCAAACAAACAGCATATTTTATCTACAATTAAACGAAATTCAAAAAGATTTTAATTAACAAATCATTTTTATGCAAACAAAAAAATTATTGACTAGATTTAAGTCCAATTTAGGTGTTTTAAATCAAATTTAGGCAAAAGTGGATTAATAATAATTCCCCATTTGAGACAAAAAACAAATATAATCAGACTTAAAATACATATAAAATGCTAAAAGATTTTGTATATATCAAATCAGCATACAAAATACATTTAGATTTTTCTGAACAAACTGTAGATGGCCTGACTGAAACAGGGGTCAAGTGTCACACAGCAAAACTAGCTCCTCAATCATTGTGAATCTAACTAATCCATGTAGCAATATAACATTGCTCATTAAAACTTGTGAATCTATACTAATGTGAAATAATAGCATTTAACTATAATGATGCAAAATTGATGTGGCAAAACATTAAAAGAAATCAAGTTGATAAGATTTTGGTAACAAAGCTCTAAAGAATTACATTTTACATTTAATAAGAATCTTGATTAAAATTCATGATCAAAAAGTAAATCATTTAAATGGACTATTATGATAAACGTTAAAATTTATAAAAAAATATGTAGTCAAACAAGAAATTGTACATAATTAAAATTAAGTTGATTCATTATAAATCAAGGAATTATAAGCCATCAAATAATTATTAAAATTGATATTCTAAAATTGTGACAACTACAAACATTTCATTGGGATAAAAAATAAAAAGAATATAATCCAAGTACTTTCTTATAAATCACATAATTATGATTATATGCAGTTATATATATGCAAATATATGTAAATTAGTTATATTTAGGTACAGTAGAAGATTTTACATGCAAAATAACATATGCTAGCATTATTAGGTAAGCCTCTGTCCTAACATAATCAGGGTTATGTAAGTAACACCCTTATATAGCCTTAGGTAACAAAGACCACAGAAGTAGTCTAGTCATGAACTTTAGTTATAGCAGTAGTGCACTTATATATGCTTATTAATCAGGTTTAAAAAGCAGCACAAATACATATCCTTAGTAAAAAGGTTTATATAAGTAACAGACTTATATAACCTTATAAGTACAGTCATGTATCAAAGTTATATAAGAATTGCACATATATATCCTTTACCAGGGTTATATAAGTTGTGCACTTACTGTATTTATATCCTTATTAACAAGGATTACATAATTAGTTAGAGTCATGTACTTATAACCAGAGCTATATAAGTAGCACATCCTTAATACCAATGGTTATAAGTAGCACATCCTTAATACCAATGGTTATAAGTAGCACATCCTTAATAACAATGGTTATAAAGTAGCACATTTTTATATCTTTATTAATCAGAGTGGACAATATATAAGTATGAACTTCTATTTACATCACAAGGTTTATAATGTGCCATGTAACTACTCAACACAAGGTTATGGATAATTCCAGTTTTCCAGAACCATATTTACTGGGAATGGTAAAAAAGATAAAACAAACTCCCAATTTGTTAAGCAAGGTAATTGAAATACAATAAATACAGACTTTTGTACGAATAAGATTTGCTAACTAAATGTACCCTTATTACATGCTTTCATGCATTATTATTTATTATTTTTATTATTTGAGAAGTATTTCATTTGGGTAAACCCTTTAAATCTAGAAAGCTGATTACTGTGTATTTATTCCTCCTTAAAGAGGGTGAGTGAAGTGTTTGTATAGCTTAGGAGCACACAAAATTAAAAGGTAAACACCATTCTTATGATTAGTCTTAGCAAGATTGAAAGAATGAAGAATGTTGATATTCGTTATTGACAAGTTGAAGAATAATATCTATTCAGCAACTCTATAATTTGACTTATAAAGTATCTTTCATTAAGATTAACCAATCATTGTCCAACTATCAATTTGTGACTCATTAACAATTATTTTTCATAGAGAAAGTGAATCACAATTCTCATTATCATAGTTGAGTTTTGGACTTTCAACACACTCTTTAACACTAAACAAACTTGCTCACACAACTTAAATCCACTCGAAATATCCTCAAAACATTATTTTTTGATTTTCCGGATCCCTATTACTATTTTAAATTTCAAATGCCTGATCTCTTTTATTTAAGACATTAGTTGTCAACAACGTACGTCTACGTCATTCACAAACGATAACTTCAGAGAGCATCGCTAACTTTGTGAACACGACAAATTGTAAACAAACATCAAAAACATTCTAGAAAGAAAACTGCAAGCAAAGTTAAAAGAATGCTTTTAAAAGATAAAATACAAAACAAGTAATCTTTTGGGGGAGCACTTTCAATTTTAAAAATCATCCTTATTATTAATCATTTATATCTATTACTTTTGAATCGCCAGTTCTGCTTTAGTTATATACGTCATCATATAGTTATCATAATTCAAATGCAGTGAAAATATTAAAAACCTTTGTGTATTCCAAATATATCTGTTGGTAATTCACAGTAAGATTTGTTGGGTTATCTCCTTCTATGACACATCCAACAAATAAAGTTTCTATTTTCTTTGGCTATGGTTTCTGTTTTCTGTAAATCCTAATTTAAATATACAGTAATAGTTTAAAATCCACTTCATTATCAAAATCACCTTTAATTAAACTTCAGCAGTTTTAAAATGAAATAAAAATACCCTCCCTTTAAAAAAGAAATATATCCTATTATTTAAAAGTGTTACATCACTGACAAAGCGAAACATGTACATTTTCAAAATAATACAATATAGAATATTAATGTGTTTATATAATGTTTTCCATGGTGATATAAATACAGTTTTTGTACCAACAAACACATGGCAACAAATGTTATATAATAAAGCATTAATTAGTTTAATTAGTTATATCACCTACTGTATTTAAAATGGAAAACACAAAGATATGAAAGAAGTTTAAATTGTTTATAAATTCCAACATATTCCTTTCTTCTATTGGCATTTAGTATATAATAACAATCAATTAGTCATAATTTGTTAATTGATTAATTAGTTACTAACTATGTATCTGTAATGTTGGATCCACTTGGATCTCATAATGTTACACCACTTTACAAACTTTTTTCTTTGTTTTAATCACTATACAATTTTGTAAACTACAAGGTATTGAATAATTTACACGTAAATCTATGATAACAATTCAAATATTAATGATAAAGATCCAAACATTTAATTTACAAGATTAAAAGCATGATGTTGATAGAATGAAGTATGTTTGCCATTTTTATCTACAGCTAGTTCTAAAAACAGCTTTATGATAAATACAATCACTAAAAAATTTGGTTTTATCCAAATGTTAAAACTCACTATATTGGAACAACAATGTATGGATTTAGATTCTGAATCAACCATATGGGAAAAAATCTCCAGGAAATAGTGTGGGAATTGACTGAGCAAAGTTCCTTTACAGATCCAACTTAATTCATAAATCAACCAAGAATTTCAACCAATCACAGATTTTAATTTATAAGTCAACTCAGAATTTCAACCAATCATAGAGTGTAATCTGTAAGTCAACTATGAACTTCAACTAATCATGGTCTTAAGAATTTTAACCAATCAGATGTCACCTTTCCACTAACTGGTATCATAAAATTGGTCTGAATTACATGATTTCAGAGAGAGGGAGGGTGGAGCTTATATTGGCCACTGAAAACCCTTGCATTTTGCGTTTCCCATATGCTTGATTCGTGAAATGTACAAAACATAAAAACCCGCTACCGTGAAAAATGTTTCAAACGACAATTCTGTTAAAGCCTAAATCTATTGTATGAATGCATCTAAAAACCAGCGGCCTTATCTGCAGCGGCGCGTTCCTTTTCTTTTTTTTCTTTCTTCTTCTTCAGGAATGATGGCGTTCTGAATTTTTTCTTGCTTTTCTTACTGGGTGATGTGTTCTCCTTCGATGGTGATACCTCCACATCACTATGACTTTTTTCACCGGTATCCTCTGCTGCTGACGAGGCTTCTGACCGACTTCCATCAATTGTTGTTTCAATTTTTAGAGAGGTGCAAACAACCGTTACTTCTTGATCTATTCAAATAAAAAATACAAATAATAGCTTAGAATAATGATTTTGGGATCTACAACTTTTAATTTATATATTTCAAAACACATTGTTGGAAACTTTTTGGACCAAAAGCACCAGACAACATAAAATTGGACACACCAGACACATGTAAAAACAAAAGAAACACTAAGGAAACATGGAACACATCAATCAAGGACACATGCAATAGAAACAACTGTCTTTAGGGATAATCAATGCAGACACAAAAATGAAGCTTTAATCTGTGTATATGAGAGCAGTGTCTAAAGCCATTTGTGTCTATTTTTTCATGACAAGAATGCCAATGCGCTGTAGAATTTGAGTGTACAAGGCCTAAAATGTGATTGCAGAAACATATGGACTACTGTATTTGTTATTTATAAATCTAAAAAAAGAAAAACAATTAAAAAAAAGTGTATAACACTATTTTTTCGTTATATTATTTAGTTGCATAAATGTATAGACAGAGCTATACAATGGATAACCAAGAGTTTATGATTTTGATAATTTAGTTTAAAGTAATCTTTCTTTTCTAATAAGTATCAATTGTAAGCACAGTACATTGATAATTATGAAAATATTATAGTAATATTAATAATATCACATATAATTTAACATAAAATTTAACCACTTTATTTACTGGGAATGTTAATATGATTATCTATAAACGTCCAAAAAAAAATATTAGAAAAGGGTATAGAGTATACTCCAATGTCATTTAATAATAATAATAATACTAATAAAACTTTAAAAATAAATAAATTGCATGTTTGAATTTATTTTCAATCCCAAAAACATTTAATGGAATCTCTTTAAGAAAAATACAAACAACACGCTAAAAATTTCTTTCAATACTCACAAAATTGAACATTTGACCATTAATCACAAGCATGCCACAGATTTCTTAGCTTTTTTGTAGGAGGGACGTAATTTGGACATGCTGTGTTTGGATTTTATTTTTACCTGATGTATACGAACAGTTTTTTCTTTATTTTTCCCAAAGAAATAAAGAACAAATAGAGAGAGAGAGTGTTAACCGCAGAAATGCTAGAATGCTTTGTACCTTAAGAATTTGTTTCATCAAATGCAAAGCTTCTCATATGTGATGATAAAACCAGATTCAAACTCGTGGATAAGTGGTTTATTAAGAAAATTACACTTTACACTTCATAAACATGAAAATTCTTGAGAAAATGATTAATTTTCATGAAAATAACATGAATAAATCATAATTAATATTATTAAACCTTTTTTTTTTTCAATTAGGTAACCTGAATTATTCAACCTTAATAAATAAAATAATGAATATTTCTTCATCTTATTAACTAACAAATTCAGGGAAATGATTATAAAAGATAGAACATAAAAGAAATCAAGAAAATATTTCAAAACAAAATGACGAAAACATTTAAAACTAACAAAGGGAAAATAAAGAATAACAGCAGAATGGCATTCACCAAAATTAAACAGAATGGAACTTATATGTAATGAACAAAAATAAACATGATTATATTATAATTTCAAAGCAAGATATAAAAAATTAGGATGTTTTTAAAATAAATTTTTAATCACCATGCAATTATTCTTAAACATTCCATTGCATATCACTATTTAAAGTAGTAAATAATTTGTTAAATAAAAACCCAAATTAATGTAATTATTGGGGAAAAACTATTTACTCCAAATATAATAATTATTATAACTGTAATATTAACAAAATCTGATATATTTGTTAATATAATAATAATAACAATAATAATAATAATAATAATAATAATAATAATAATAATAATAATAATCTATCGTGTTTGGTTTATTACAGCTTAAACAGTTCTAATTCTTTGTGTTCTCATTCTAATCAGAAATCAGAAATTTGGGCTGGAACTTAGGACTTGCAGTAGCCGCAGCGCCACAAACAAATATGTAAAAAAGTTGATAAACAAATAAATAATATATAAATATTTTAATGTTATTTGAATATGAAAGTAGAGTGTTACCAACTTATTGCCAGTAACATATTTAAAAAAAAGAATTAACATTAACAGTTTATCTTAATTTCAAATGAATTTGTTCAAAGAATATTGAATTTGATTTTGTTAATATTGAACAAGTTATTTATTACTTTTCGAAAAAAATAAAATAACAAAGAAATACAATAATTTGGAATGATAATTTAGTTTTATGAATGGTAATTTGGTTAGAACCAAATCATATTTAGTAAGAAAACTGATTCAAACCAAGCACAATATTGGCTGTTAGCACCAATGGGCTGTTCATAAGTTAACTTTCTCATAATTTACTAATCCATATGCTTATTAGTATTTTGCCCAAGATAATAAACAAAAGTAAAAAATGGCATATTTTCAATTGTATATTAATTACTGAGATTCTCAATACTTTAACAAGCAAAATTAAAAAACTTATGCAAACAAACTAAAAACAAATTAAATGATATATAAGATTGAATAAAATAAATAAACATAGATTAATATACATCATAGAAGATAAAGAACCAGAGTGACATCTCAGGAAGCTGCGAAGAAATTCAAGTTAAAGATTTCTGCTTCTATCTACTCAACTAATTAAACAAACTAATAAGTAATTTTCTAATTAAGCCAACTCCAAGCTCATATCTCGAGTAAATGCTCCAATAACCCAGTATATACATGTACTACCTTATTAGTGACAACTAAAATCTCTAAACATAATAAATATCTACTATAATATAAGTTATTAACTGTTATATTAATAGATAATTTTAGGAAATAAAATAGTAATTCAAAAACTCTATTTTTGAATTAGTGAATTAGTTTTTGAAAAGCTTCATTTTTTTTAAAGAATGGTAATGGTGATTAGATGAGGTACAAAATGCAAATGCACAAACTTTGCATATAAATAAGATGGAGTAGGAATGACCAATGAGAATCAAGTAAATTGATTATAATAGCAATGACTATGAATAACAATGATTCCCTCTTGCCTGCGTGTCCAAATCCTCAGACTACAAATGCTGTGTTTAGGTGTGTGTATAGAAATAGGTACCTACAATGAAACAAGTAGCCGTGAGATCACACCATCATGATTAACAGATGGACTGGTGTTGATGAGTGGAGGGATCCAACAAAATGAATGAAAATATGTCTTATTGACATGTGTACACTCAGTCCCAAAAAAACCCATCTGATTTAATGTTGTGGATTTGTGGTATAATACAGATAAATTTATTTTTATTTTAATTTTATTTCAAATCTCATTCAACAGCGGTTAAATCGCCACTTACAGAATGGATTAAAAAATAATTATATGAAAATATATAAATAAATAAATACTGTATATAAATTTAAGCAATTTATAAGAATTAATCACTTTACAGATGTAATTATTAAAAATCAGAGAATATTATGGTTGGCAAGATGAAAACCAGAGCCTCAAAGAGGTGGATGATTGATTCTTCAATAAATGTAAACTGTATGATAATTATGTATATTGTATTCTTCACTTCAGTGCATTATGAAATAGTTTTTATAAATCAGAATGGAACATTCAGATGATGTATTTGGTGGTACTTTAAAAGAATTTGTAAATATAATATTTCTCATTACAATTTCCAAAAAGTAAATCATCTCATAGTCATTATGAAAAATAGGCAAGCAATATTTAAGAAATTAGCAACATTAGATGATCTGTCTAAAAGGGTTGCTTTTCTTTCCTTAATAATCCAATAGCATGAATAAACCTTACCAAAAGATGCCGTTATGTAGTGCTGAAATTACTTGAAGAGACTAAAACATTTATTGCAAACAACATGGCATAACAATCTAAATCTACCACAATACATCATGGTGAATACAGCCAAGAAGACTGCTAATTTCTGCTTAGAGTTTCAATGCATCTTATTGGAAAACTGTGGGCCTAGCCAGGTAGAAGGCTATAGCCAGTCTAGGCTAAAATAATCAGCTAGCCATCTAGAACACTAGCCTAGCAAGACAACGTGTTATACTTCAGAAATTGATTGTTTTGAGGCTTGTAACCAGATTTTTGTTATATATGTTTATTTATTATAATGGAGTTCTTAGAAATCATCATTAATGCTCAAGATGCAGAAATGAAAGAGTAAAAAATGAAATTGGAAGAGGCATGATAAAGCATGCAGATGAATAAATAGCGAGCAGCACACAAAATAAATTGAGATAAAAGAAAAGCTGAGAAACAAGTAATCAAATTATATTAAGGGAAAATGAGTGATTAATGGAAAAGAAAAGGAAGTAAAAGCATAAGTGAAACAGAAAAAAAGCAGATTTGTTTTACATAAACAAGAAAAGCAAAAGCTTAATTATGAGAGAAGACATAATCAATTATTGTTTGAAATTAACACAGATTAAACCACAGGTTAGGTGTTAAGAACAAGGGAAATCAGAAAAATTAAAAAAGTCAACTGTAAGAAAATAAGCCATGAATAACAAAAACAGAGAAGCTAAAGAATGAGATAAAATATAATAAATTATTTTTTTAAATCAATACAGATTGAATTTAGGTATTAAGAACAAGAGAAACCAGAACAAGAGAAATCAGAAAATTAAAAAGAAAACCAACATTTCAGAGACAAAAAAGACAACCAAATTTTAATGAGATACTATATTAACATATATGCTTGCATGTGTTTGTGTTGCTTCAACTGGTGTACAGAGAATTGTGAGTGTTTAAGGGATGGGTGTTACATGTTTGTGTGTACATACATGCATGTTTACATGTATCTATTAACAACTTGTAGGACTACAGATTCTCTACAATCATATTTCCTAAAATTACAGTCTACTTCTTTGTCTAGGCTAACAGTGTTTCCAATTTACTACAGTACTAGGCAATACATGCAATGCAGAAGGGTTGCAAGAAAGCAACAGAAGACAGGAGAAAAGTGACAAAAAACATAGCAAGAAGAAAACTTTTCTTAAAATTCCCCTTCCAAACTCATTTTTCCCCTTTCAGATTCTCAATTACAGTTTCCCTACACCCTAAATTTGAGATTTGGCATGTATTTCAACTATAAACCATGATCCAAAATTAAACTATTAATACAATCTTCAAACTACCCCCTCTATTGTCATCCCTGATAACCAAAGATCTTATAAACACAAGATAGCGTTCTCCGCGATTTACGTGTAACAAATAGAAGCGTCGGTCAAGGTTCAAAAGTTTCCCATTTAGCAAGAGGGCGCCATTCATGCGCTATTACCGAAGAG